TGGTGTATGTTTCAGGTACTGTAGTGTCAGGGGAACATCTAAAGTTCTCTAAGTTCTCTCTCTTTCCAACGATCCGCTGGGAACTTCATCCGAACTCAAGTAGACGCTGCCAAACACCGCCAACGGTTGGCCAGATAAGGGAAATCATCCTTGAATCATCCCATCAGTCACAGTGACTGATGCGGCTTTCGCACCAACCAACACACCCAAAAACGCCACTCACCGAGGAAACGCATGCATCCGTCTTTGCGTGCCTCAAATCTCTCGAAACTTCCCCTGCCGCTGAGGGTAAGTGATACCAGCTTATCCCTTGCTGTTCGCGGCTGAACTGACAACTAATCGGCAGACGCACGCGAACGCGGCTGCCCATGGCTCCATCCAAAATATCCGCAGGCTGGCCGCTGGGATACCTACTTTGGCCGCAGAGTATCGTCCATTTTTGCTCCCGGCATTCTATGCCATGCTGGACCCAGCGGAAATTCGGGTGCTCCTAGATCAACTGGATCTGTCTACGAGTGGTGACGTGGAAGCCCTCCGTTTGCGACTCACCCGGACACTCCTCGGCCTACATGGCATCTCAAATCTAGATCTTTTCAAAGTAATCCCTCCCGCCGCTTTGGTGGACTTATGGCCCCGCGTCTGGCCGTGGATCCAATCACTGGATATTTATCAAGACCACCTACCCACGCCTAATACGCTAGCATGGGGAGCCTCGCCGTATGACTTGTGCCTGAAGGTACTCAGGGTTTTCCAGAGGCACGATGAGACCTCCGAACTAGTCCACGCGACGCCTGGCGTGCGCGTTGTCGTGGGGAGGGCATGGCGGCTCTGCGTTCGCGGTGGGGAAGGCACATGCTTCGACGATGTGTGTAATTTCCTCGCGCATGGGATCAAAGATGCCGGCGCGGCCAATTTCGACGAGCTTGTGGAGGGAGCAGGAGGGAGTCGGGCGGATCTCGCTTTGGTCATAGTATCACATATGGACCGCGTTCTCCCGACTCCCACCTCTACGGTGACAGAAACGACCTTTCGCCGACTCGCCACTATCATTTTCATCGTTGAAGACACTTTACTGTCGGACTGGGATGTGACCTTGCGAGCGGCGCTGGTCTCCACGGGCATAGTCAAGGCGCTCACAACCACATTGCTGGCTCTCTGCCATAGTCGCTTGCCGCTTGCGCCGAGTGTGCTGAAATCCTTATTTTCGGGCTTGGTCCAAACCTTGGACGATTCTCCCATTCACATGCTCAATCAGTCACTCCGCGCCGGGCTTCTCCGCCTCGTATTCGATTTGGGCCACAGGAAAGATGTCGACGACATCCACCCATTTATATCTTACCTCATCTGCGGCGTCCTTGGAAAATACACTGTATATCACTCCGTCCTATCCCAGCTGCAAGAGTCTTTCGGCGAGGTCGCTTTCCGGTATCCTGAGGTGGCTTTTGGCAGGTCACAAGTCAGCAAAGAGTGGGGACAGTTCGTCAAATTGGTGGATGAACGGCTTCAAATCGACAAGCGATACCGATCGGGTGAGCTAGCGGCGACCAGGGCATGCGACAACATCGAGGTATGTTATTCTGTATCTCTGGTAACTCCAGCAATTCACACATTTACATCCAGTGCGGCATCATCGGCGACAAGCATGACTTCAAACGCTGCCGCGGATGTTCTGTCGCATACTATTGCTCAGTACCATGCCAGACAGCCGATTGGCGTCAAGGAGGACACCGCGAGATGTGCAGGACTCTGTTTTCACGCCGTATTTGTGAGTCTTCGACCATTCCCGAGCATCCGCTGATCGTTTTCTAGTCGATCCCATTAGGGCGAAAGACAGATCCTTCATGCGTGCCATTTTAAGTCACGATTACGGTTCAGTGCGAGAGGATGTTGCGCTTAACACCATGTTTGGGTTCCTCGCCCACGCAGGCTCAGCAGGGCTCCCATACGCGCGGTTCACACACGCCGCGGGCAAGTCTCACATGACCATGGGACCCCTCGAGGAGTTGGATCCTCAATTCGCCTATGATGTTTCGCGGGTGGCGAGCAGCGGCGGACGCGTACAACTGCACCTGATGGAGTTCTTTGTGGGCAAGACGAAGCAGACTCTAAGGTTCTACCTGCGTTCATCCAACACGTTGTTGGCCGAGAAGTTGAAGTCGATTGCGGAATCGATGCCGCCTATCATGTCGGACGCGAACTTGCCAGAACTATCGGAGTCCTATCGTCCCACGATTCAGCGGGCGTTCAGGGAGGCGGCGGTCCAACAGACTTATTAGTCGGGGATCGAGGGTGACTTCATAACGAGCCTATATCGTATCAAACGTGTTCCTCAGAGCATTGCCCCTCGCGAGGCTACGAAAGCAAATTTCAGTATGCACGAACGACGGTTCTTCACATCGTGACGAAGCGGTCGTGATTTTCCTGCTCTCAGATAATCCTCGCGTGCCTACCGATGTTGACAGGGCACATCATTGGGAGAGATTAAGGTGTCTGACGAGACCTCGTTACTTCATTCGGTCTTGGACAATCTCCTCAACTTTCCCACTGGGACCGCTCAGTGGTAGCACTTTCTCCATGTGGATTGAGGCATTGGTTGATCGCACAAAACATTCAACCACGTAGCGTCGGTTGTGTCTAAAACGATCGTGTCGATCGCCACGCTAGCCCCTATAACACACCGCTTTTAACCTGTGTCCGTTAGGGGATCATTATATGCACGTCGCAACTGTGCTTTCCAAGACTCATTCCTCCTTCTTCCCCACTATGAGCGACTGCGATATCCCCCTCGACGGAGATTGTTTACAATTTCTGTGCTGCTGGTGCTTCGAGATCGACTGCGGATGTGGATGCGATAGCTGCTGTGACACAGCGAACTCGATTTGCTGTTGTGTTGATACAACGAGCGACTATTGTTCCTGGATTGGTTTGTATTCTCATCTCCATGATTCAGAAGTGTACCTCCAAGCTAACTAATGTGAACGCAGACAGCTGTCGGGGCTATTTTGACTGTGAGGACTGTGAGTTTTCAGTCGTTTTATATTCAGGTTGCTAAAAGATTACAGCTGGCAGCGGTAAAAGCCGGCGCACCGTGCAGCAAAGCACCGAGGATCAAGGAGACAGGATACTCCTGGCGGAGCGGGGCAGCAGCCAGCCAGCCGCGAAACCAAAAATGGTGATATATACATAGCTAGCCCCGTGTGTTGTAATCTGCAGAGCCTGGGCACAGATACACAGAAGAATGCAGTACATTTTGCAAGCTTGCATGTATTCGAGAAGATCCGGGGGGGGAGATAATGTACAATCATTGGTGTCGCGTGGTGAACGAGATCGGCGCAAAACTCAGAATAGCCGGATAGTAACGGGTGAACGGATATCATGAACAACAGTTTCTCTGCGTTGTGTTGGGAAGTGCGTAAGGCGAGCTTGAGAAGAGAGATCGCTCGGTAATTAGTGGTCCATGACAGCTGGCAGCACACTGGCAGGGAAATTTGACCCGGAATTGATTGCGAGGACGACGTTCTTGCATTCCCGCTTCGTGCATCACGTCAATTGAGACGGCTGAACACCGCCTGCGCGCAGTACAATCGGCCATCTCATCAGCGCGTACCCCGACGCCAAGGTGATATTGACGAACCGCGATCCTGACAAGTGGTGGACGTCCTTCTCACAATCCATTGGCACTATCTCTGCAAGCTGGAAGTATCGCTTGGCCGGAATTTTGGCTCCCAAGGCTCTCGGGAGGACAGCAGCGCTGGGGAGGCTTGCCGTCTCGGTTGTTTGCCGGGCCCGTTATCACGAAGGAGGGTGCGAAGGCGCGATTTGTTCAACATTACGAGGACGTGAGGAGCCTTGTACCCAAGGAGCGCCTTCTTGAGTACGAAGTGAGCCAAGGATGGGGGCCCTTGTGCGAGTTCCTGGAGAAAGATAGTCCCGAACGTTCAGTTCCCATTGCGCACACGATGAACGAGATCCTCTGGCGGTTTGCGATAGGTACGGGCGATACTTTTGTGTTTTGCTTTGACGGGAGTGGCACTAGCGATGTATCTATCTACGAAGCAGAAGGAGAATTGCGGAGGACGGGTTGCGGCCACGTACAGGAAGTCTTTGGGGTTGTAGGACACTGCAGGTTTGTCGAAGATCCAGGTCGACGGGCGAGTGGTAAGTGAGGGCTTCCTCGTCGTGAGTACGTTCTACTTGCGGCGCTTCTTATTAATTTCGAAGCATATGAATGTTCTCAATCTTTTCGGCTGTAATCTACTGTAGTATTTCAATCAATTCGGCAGTGGGTGTGACGCGTGACATGTTGAACCAATTCGTCAATTCGTCAACCGCCCAGACAGACCGTGACACACCTGAAAATTTCGGCAGCATTCAGATCTTGTCCCGCATGCCAAGGATGTTCACCGCAGAATTCGAAGGTGAATTCAACAGAGGAAACATCTGGGAAACACCAAATTTCACAAAAGTTTGGAACACCTGGAAATTCAGGTTGAAAACCCGGCGTTTTGCATCTGCGAGCCTGAGGTTGAGCATTCGAGAGCCCAAATACACCCCACTGAAGCAACAAAGTGCCTGCGGCGACGAAAATTTTGGTTTCCGCCTTCTGGAACCGAAATTAGAACCTACTGTGACAAAAAGTCAATTCATCAAGACCCTCAGTGACCTGTGACAATGACCGAAATTCGGCGCCGTCAGGGCCATCCGTGACGCGTGACTGCCGATTTGATTGAAATAGTACAGTATACTGGAGAGGAATATGGGCGTAACGTGCGTGGTGGTTTGGGAGAAGGACTTAAGTCACGGTCACTCAGTCACGTTGCTCACGTGCGCGCGATCAAACGCGTCGCGCTTGCAACGCGCTACTTAGTCGGAGTCAAGTCGGAGTTGGACTCAACTCCTGGTGCAAAAAGAGTCAGTTTAGAAACGAAAGTCTTTTCAAAGTTTCTGCTGGGTACTCATTTCACCAAGATCTGCTTGCCAGGAAATAATGGCTCCGCACCGGCGTCATAGCTCAGTTGGGAGAGCAGCAGACTGAAGTTCCAAATTCACTTCGCATAGATTAATCTGAAGGTCCCGTGTTCAAGCCACGGTGATGCCATCCTTTTAGTCTCCGCTTAACACCAGTGAGCGAGGGAGGATCGTCTCACGGACTCTCACCCATACCCTCCATCATGATCCACGCCCAGCGCTCGTTTTTGGATTTTTCTTTTTTGGGGTCATCTTCAAAGGTATCTTAGCATTCGAATCTCCTCCATTACCGATCCCGTCTCCGTCTTCAAATCGATCGCGAACCCACGGTTTTTGTGGTCGAAATCGATCACATCAAGGTAACGCAACTTTGATGAGGCTGTGGCTCAGGCGATGACACGACCTTCGTCCCCCACCTCCATGTCCGTGATCAAGGCAGATCGTCTACACATTGCTGGCGGCACCTTCAACCAGGTCGCCGGGGATCTTACGAAGTATCACATCGCAGGAAACTTGGTTCAACCACAAGGAGAAAACGGTAAGCCCACTCATGATCTTTCACGGTTCACATCTGCCGCTGAACCCTCCCAGGAATAGGTATCTTGCAGCGGAGCATATGCGGTGATGCATTCTACAACTCCGAGCAACGTTTTCCACCACCGCAATGCCATCCGAATACCAGAATGGCTGTACAGGACACCATCTACTCGTGGGCCGAGGCTGCACATGCACCCCGCATGATGTGGTTATACGGCCCGGCTGGCGGTGGAAAATCTGCGATTGCCCAAACGATGGCGGAGCGCTGGACAGAGGCAGAATGTCTTGGTGCCGCATTCTTCTTTGCCAGGTGGAGGATGGGCGGGAGCTCTGGCAAGACCCTTTTCCCCACCATAGCATACCAGCTTGCACAACATATCCCAGCGCTCCGAAGGTCCATCAGCGAAGCAGTTGAAAGGGATCCAGCAGTTTGTGACAAGTCGTTGGAGGAGCAGGCTCGAGTTTTAATTCGAAACCCCGTGGCAGCCTTGCCCGCCCACAACTGGAAACCCTACCTTGTCATCGTGGATGGTTTAGACGAATGTGAAGGGAAGCCGGCGCAGAGTCGAATCATCAGGGCCATTTTTCATATCTCTGCCAACAATACGCTCCCCCTTCGATTTCTCATCTGCAGCCGTCCAGAGCCGCATATCCGCGAAACGTTCCAAGACCGGGCGGAGTTCTGCTGTGTGTCACTGGATGACATATTCGAGCCCAGCCTCGACATTCGTCGCTACCTCCGGGATAAATTGGCCGATGTCCAACGAAAGAGACTCAGAACACATCCTGCATGGCCCTCTGATGCCGACCTAGGAACACTAGTCAAAAATGCTTCTGGGCAGTTTATCTACGCCGCGACAGTGATAAAGTTTGTGGACGACGAATATTCCCACCCCGTGGAACAGCTTCGGCTCGTTCTCCGTGCATCAGCGACACAGACGAAGGTTTCCGCTTTTGAAGACCTCGACAATCTATACTCCTCCATTCTCTCCCAGAATCCCGACATCTCCTTGGTAATACGTATCCTCGGCGCATTTTTTGCTATTCCGGATCCAGACAACCCCACAACGCACTGTGTGGAGTTTCTGGATAATATTCTCGGTCTTGAGCGCGGGACTGTGAGATTCGCGTTGAGGGGTCTACACTCTATGCTATTTATCCCCGACTCGGACGGCGGCCGCATTCGAGTACATCATGCTTCTTTTCACGATTTCCTTTCCAACCCGACGCGAGCTGGACAATTTTACCTCGCTCCTGAAGCGCATCACACGGAATTGTTGGAGCGCTGTTTGACTGTCATCGTCGACAGCATCGAAGGAAGCCATCCGTCGAACACGTTGTACGTCCACTCAACCTTTTATTCATTTCATTTGCGACACCGATGGGCGTTCAGGATGGCGTATGCACACAAGGAATGGACAAAGCACTATATCCCGAGTTCAAATCAACATAGGAATATACGGGCCTGCCTCCGTGCTTGCTGCGCGACCCTTCAGCCGCACAAATTTGATTTTCTCTGTCATGACCTGAATGCGCTCATGCGAATATTTCTCTATTTCATCAACTTCCTCAAAACCCTCGGAACAACCGCTGTAAGAAAGTATTTAATCCGCACTTCGTTGGCTAACAATTGTACAGTTTGCGCTGCAACTATTCATCCCAGAGTACGACGCGGCTTGGAATACTTTGCTCGCTACCATTTTCGAGCGAGACCCAAGCGCAGCGGAACTGCTCCCGTTCTGGACCCCAGCGCTATTTCAATACTTCTGCGACGCAAATGGCAAAGACATCGCAGAGTTAACTCTTCCCAGCCCTGGAAGTTTGAACGAGATTCCTGGAAACCTACCACAGGGAAAAAATCCCGGTCGCCAGCACCCCACACCTCAGATATACCACAGAGCCGCACAAATTGCCCTGCGTCTATTGATTTACAGGTGAGTCCACGACCCAGTTGTTTCGACATTTATTACCCTCCAGAATCAGGAGTGCGGAGATTCGAACCAACTTGTCTTCTGACCGTCTCGTCGAGAAGATGTACGCCAGGATCGTCTCTGATGTGGCACTGCTCGGCCTGGCCTGGACAGAGATCCCCTCGAAGCCTGCGATGTGCTGGTATTTTGCCCATCAATGGTGTATCCATTTGGTCCAGACGCCTCCTGCCTCAGAATTACTCCCCATGCTACGGCATTTACTGCAGAGCGGGGAATTCTTGCACGAGGACGCGACACATTACGATATGCTAAATGAATGGCTCAACGCAAGTTTAGACAACCTCGAAGGACAAAAAAAAACTTACAGCCCTTTTTTTGTTAGGCGTTCGATACGGAACCGGCGATGGCGGTCGCTCGAGTATTTCAGCATGTCGAAGACCATGCCTTCCGAAGGGATTGACCCTGGGCGTTCAAGTCGGGCATCGCGCGCCTCTCTGGGCTTCTATGTATACCCGGAGCATTATATCTCGAACCCAACTTGAAGCTGTTGGTCTATTCTTTCATTCCGAGCAATTAGCAGCTTCTTCAACGGGATGAAATTTCTCAGCTTACGCAAGGATCTAAGCCACCTGCCGATCAAATGAGGCCTTTCGATTCACTGACAGGGACGGCATGGTGTAGTCGCCTGCAGTCGCACGAGCCCTCGTATGTCATTTCACAAACGGATTGCCAAACCTTTGACGACTTTATCACGCACCTCCCCTTCTTGCCTGCTCCACGGTGGTGATACAGGTCCATCGTAACAATTGCGAAAAGGTGATCGTCATCAGTATGGCCAGCCTCTCGGGGAAGATTGATAATATAACAGCTGCCCAGCTCAACACTCGCGCCGGTGGTCACACTTGAGATCGGTTACAGTTTATGTACTACTGGGCTGGATTTTGAGCTGCCCAAGCATTGACCTTGAGGAAAGCTACAGAACTACGGTGTCTGATCCATTCAGCGGATAGATGCCATCCAGAATATCAAGAATTTTGTGAAAACAGGAAGGCAGGCCGCAGCGCGGAGGGGATACCCTTCGAAATCCAAGCTAGAGATTTTTTCGGTGGACAAGTTGCAGCAGCGGGTTTCTACCTCGGTTTCTGTGCGAAACTCTTGTGAGCATTGCTGCTGACAACTTTGCCATTTCGATTTTTTTTTGGCGTCGTCTAATAGTACTGACGGCGCGGCGGTACGTCGACTAGTACTACTTGCGTGGGGCTTTGGTGGGACTCAAACTCGTACACAACTCGTACAGGGAGATTCATCGCAAGGATTTTCTAAAGTAATGCGCGACAAGATTGAGGCAAGAGTGTTGTAAATGAGGATTCGATATCCTGCGACATGCACGGCAAATGCAAGCTGTGGCGGGCCGCTGCCCGCATCAGTCCGGAACTTCGGATTAATCACGAACTCAGTGGCAGTGTCGGCCTTCTTCACCAACCTTCATGTCCGCACGTCCGGGCAGCCGTTACGCCCCAGGTTCTTATTCCAGGGTCCTGGGACGTGCCTTCTATCAATTGCAGTATATCACGAGCGCCACCTCAGCTATCCACGAGCAGAAGATCTTGTCGCCTAGCTGTTTAGTGTTACTGGCGCATTCAGCACTCTGTTGGAACTTGGCACGCTGCCACCGTGACTCCGACGCTGTCTAGCACCTGGACCGCCCAGCGTCGCAGGAGTAAGGTTTTGGCGCGAGTTCGCATCTTTGACTCGAGGAGCAACTCACTCCACGGTCCATTGGAGCCCTGTGCGTGAGTTTTTCTTGCTGCCGTCGATTGGGGAGAAACCGATGATCGTTCCTCGATACGCACCGGGTTAGACTCAGCATTCCTGCGTCACGCGTTAATACGGCGGAGCTCTGCACTCAGAGGTTTGTCCACTGTTTTTTTTCTTCTGCCGTTTGCCAGACGTCTTACTTGAGTTATGTAGCGGGAGCCTCGACAACGCCCTGCACGACACTGGACTTATCCAGGTTACTCTTACAGATGACAAAACCACGGCCTAACTCAGTGCTTCGTTCGATCGCACATTCTACACTATCACATCGCAGCCTCTGAATCATAACGTGGCCTTGGTCGTAAACTGCCTGACACGGCTTGGATGGCCCGTTCGATATCGCTCCAGTGACTGTTGGCTCCAATACTGTCTCGGATCCGCTCTCTCTGCTTGGAGGACCCGACTTTTTAGTAAGTCAACTGGGGTGAGTCCTCCTGTGTGCACAGTGTTCCATGGTCCGTGAATAATTGACGCTCTCGAAGATGGATACAATCTCTGGGCTTCATTCATTCTTTGTCCTTCTCCAGGTTCAAATCATTAACGCTCGAATACTCAGCTCTCTTTAAGTTTCAAACTTTCTCACAGAGTTCCCTTCGAAATCAACGGATCTCACGGACCGGATGATGCCCGATGTTTGGCGTTGTCAACAAGCGCCTACGAAGGCCGATCTAACTCTTCCTCATCCCGCACGAACTAGCGTTCCCCCGTGGTGGATCTCCGGCCACTCCAGGAACGTCTCAAGTCCGCGCGGTCATCCTTACCACCGTTTCTCCTCTCCGCTGCCTCGGACAGTCTTTTGCTTCCCCGATAGCCTTCCGACTCGGAGGTGCAAATTCTGAACTGC